GGGTGTGGTTAATAAAATGGCGCTTGAAGCATGCAGGCAACTTTAAGACTTATATCTCCACTCTGAGGATCATGTAGTGCGAGAAACAAGCAGGAGCAGACAGGAATATGTTCTTCTAATGGTTGGCTATTTCTTTTTTTGCAGCTTTTTGACTTGGAATGAATATAAGGACGCAAGAATGCCTACTTGGTGCTAAGCACCATGCTATGTAAACATACGCACTGTGGTATCACAGATTATAGGCACGTTAGACACTCTCCCTAAATAATTATCCACTCTTGATATTATTAGTGTGTAATAATAGTATAATTTCCGTATATTTACTAAATTCCCGTATATTTACTACAAACACCAGCCCCTCCTCTCCTATCCTGCAGATATCTGGAAAGTGATAATGTCGCCCCTTTCTGTCTCTCTCCTTCTCCTTCTCTTTGGTGCTTCCTTTGCTCAATTTAATAAAAAATGTCCCCCAGAATCTGTAAGAAGATTAAGTCCACCTCTTTATTGTAATATTTTGTTTTATTGCAGAGTGAGAGTTTGCTTGATAGAGATGATGTACTAGAGTTGACACAGAATGACTGTGACTACAGGGTAGTAATGGGATCCAATGATAATGATCCTGACTTTCTGGACATTTATTTAGAGGGCAACAGGGCAGGCTGGGTAGCTGTAGGTTTTTCATTGGATAGAGCAATGGTAGGTGGTTGCCATTTGTGCTATATATAATGCACATGTTCTATATTGTGGTCAGAGTTAAGTAGATACATCTATCATGCAAGTTTTAGGACAATCATTGTACCAAATTGAGTCAATTCTCTCTGCAGGGTCACTCTGATGTAATGGGTTGCAAACAGGATGAATCTGGTAATGTTGGAGTCATTGATAGTTGGAATGGAGTCAATCCATCACTCGCAAACAAGATAGACCCAAATCAAGAAGGAATGTGTAACTATTCCTCATCTTATGCTGATGGAAAGTTCTCATGCTAGTAAGACAATCTTGTATTTTTACATTTTTAATTTTTGTATTCAGTTTTAGTCGATATTATGGCGTCATTAATGAAGGATTTGATTATGATCTTCACAATCGTTATTATATCCTTCTAGGATGCAGCACCACAAAGAGTATATCAATTTAATGTTATTTCATTAATTATTATTCATGTTTTCCATAGGTGACTTAGATGTTAATTTCCCTTACCACCAGCCAAACTTCCCAGCAATATCAGATTCGATGCTTCATCCGTTTGGAAATGGTACAGACACAGCCAGTGGAAAACCAACCTTTGAAAAGAGAATGATCAGAGCTCATGGTAAGTGATCATTAATACACTTCCCTCTAATGCTAGTCTCTATTCTCCAGGAGTATTAATGGTGATAGCATACCCAGTGTTGCTCCTAACTGCAGTCTTCTTTGCTGCCTGGATGAAGCCAACAATGCCTAAGATGTGGTTCCAGGTTCATCGAGCACTGACTTTAGCTTCTCTGGTTGTTTCACTGACTGCATTTGCTGTTGTTTTCATAGCCAATAAGAACAATCCAACACCTGGCATTATTAACCTTCATGACTGTGTAAGCTCTCACATGATTCTATTCCTAACACAACTATTATCTGCTCTTGCTAACACACACACACACACACTGATGCTGCACATTGCATTCTTCTGTAGGGAACTAAAACTACTCACTTTGCGTTTGGTATAATTGCAGTGTTTCTTCACGTCCTTAATGTAAGTATTATTCATTATTGATTCAATCTTATTGTGCATTCATTCCCTTCATTAGCCTCTCATTGCTATAATTAGATGCAAACCAGACAACCCAAAGTAAGTCAATACCTCATTATTATTATTAAATGATTTATTATACTCACTAGTCGATGGATATTCAATTTGGTTCATGGTGCTGGGATTGGTCTATTGACTGAAATCATTGGATGTTAGTTCACTATAATTACTATTATTATTATTATTTATTATTTATTATTATTATTATTATTAATAGTGATCAACATTGGACTGGGTGCTGCTATATTCCAGACCAACTGTGCCACTGTTAGCAGTACTAATGTCATGCTATGGCTCTATATTGCATGGATAGTCATTGTACTGGGAACCCAGTCCTTCCTCTACATATACTTCACATACAAGGCACTCAGGGGAGAGGGTATGTCACTATTTATTAATCATTACTTTTATGATTTATTATTATTATTATTATTAGTTGATAATGCCCCATTGCTTGTTAAAGTCCTGCTTACTAAAATTATAATACGATCCAGTTATCAAAGTTTGAATGAAGACACCAAAAGTGACCCAGAAGAGTCCAAAGCAGTACGTTACTCTTATAATATTAAGTATCAACTAATGATTTCTTATTTCCAACAGGATAATGTTATACGCTACAGTGTACTCTGCTTCCAGTTAGCCACCACACTGATAATAGCTCTCATTATGATTGTCTTCATTATTGACCTGGACTTTGAGTAGCTATTTTATTGTTATTATTAATAAAATGACAATAACAATTATTATTATTATTTAATGTTATTATTATTTTGCTATCATTCTGGCTTTTTGCTGATTTTTGCTAGCACCTGTTGTTCTGTTAAAGGTCTATTTCTTTAAAACTCTTTTTAATGCTTTGCCGGCAGTATGAGTAGAAGAGACTCTCAGCTTTCGACAATACAGCATTGATATTCATTTTATTAGACAAACTAAAGAATGAAATAGAAATGATATTCAGGGCTTGGCTCAAGTTACATGTGCATGTTCTTACTTGTTCAAGCAGCCGTATATACTAGCAGCATCATTATCAACTGAAACCGACTGCTTGTTCAAAATTAAAATGGCAACACAAATGAACACGTCAAAACTGTACTCTGTATTGACTGTAGCATCAGCTGATCGAACCTCACCATCTTAAAACAACAAACCAACAAATATTATTATTTACTTGTTTATTATTATTTGTTTATTTACCTTCTGCTGCAAATTCTTCAGCTGCTGCTTTATCAAGTTCCTTGAGTGCCCGGTGACTTGAGAGTGTCAAGTAATGACTCGATATTACCTCAAGCAACCGAAGACTGTCTGAGAAACTAAACTCCCTTTTAAAATCTAACAATAGCCACCTAATAATAATAATAATAATAATAATAATAATAATAATAATAATAATAAATTAATAATACTTAACCTGTGACAGAATAGATAATCGTTACATTCTGATTCTTGAAAGAATTTATGTAATTCTTCATCCATTTCTTTTAATAACATTGGGACCAGCACTACAAATAGTTTGATAAATAAATAAATAAGGTTGGTTGCACGTGTAACTTTACATACATATTTTATTCATCATCGTCTCTTCAATGAAGTCGTGTCTCTTAATGTGCATATAATTACAGAACATCCAGTAACTGTCAACCTCAGAGTCCGTCACCACCAGAAACCGAGAGAGGATGTCATTCATCCCCTGACAGTACCCAATGTCTAATGGTTCATGATAAGGTTATAGTAATGGTCTCCTCCTCTTACCTGGATGAAATAAAGCATAAATGTGTAATAACCTGTGGACTTTCCTCAAATTTCTTTTATGACTACAAAATACAATTAAAATATAATAATCAATGATAATGCTAATAATGATCCAGTACCTGAAGTAGTGCATTGTTCGGTCGGTTCTCTTAACGTCTCTCAGTATCACTCGTTTGCTCTTGGGATAGGACCCCATGAGGTCCACTGGCTGTCTCGTTGCATAGACACTGGAGGGGAACTCAAGTATTGCCAATAAAGAGGTACTCTCAGTGTCAAGAGGCGTGGCCATACTGTCCGTCCTTCGTAAGACCTTGTTGCAGTGAGGACAGGTTTCAGGAGTCAGGTGATCAGGGAGGGTGTGGTCAGGATGGGTCTGGTCTGCTGGTTCTTGAGGAGTGGGTGGAGCTTGAGGTATAGACCGGTCCATGAGCGTAACCTGCTCAGCAAAACTATACACCAAAGACTTGACAGCTGGAGAAAAGAAGGTCATTCAAATAATGAAACAAATTTAGGGAGCTAGGTCAATATAACTACAAATGGTAGACTTAAGGGCTCCTAGGGCTAAATACGAGAGACTAAAAGTCTCCTAAACTCCCTCTAGACCCAACAGTAATTCATTATCCAGTACCTTTCTCTTCGGTGTTTTCATCATCTGAACTCAATAGGTACTCCAGTGGGTCTGAGCTGGGCTCTTCATCAGGTAGATTGACTGTTTTATCAAGAACCACCCAACGATCATGTAATGCCTTGTACTTGGCCCTATTCTCTAGATCAATGGTCTTCTGCTCCCTAAATTAATAATAATAATAATAATAATAATAATAATAATAATAATAATAATAATAGCTCACCTGTGGGTTGAGTTGAAAGGATAAATTTGAAATAAAAACTTCCAAATATGAGGACGCCATGAAGCAGTTACCCCTCCTGAGGAAAGAGAACAATACACACTACAATAATGAAGCACTGTATTCATGGTACATGTACTTATGTTGTGGCGAAAGTTTGAACTGATTCCAATCAAAATTGGATTTTTTAGGAATTTTAAAAGTTACCTCAAAATTGTGACTGAGCTATTCTGAGCCCCGCCCACTTTCATTGAGTTGTGGGGTAAATGTGCAATCAGCAGTTAAACAAACAATAATACACAAACAATGGACACTAAACAATTGCACTCCATACCTTCAAATAGTGATTTCCTCAGTTTAGCCTCCTTAACAAGTCTCCCGTCATCATCAAAGAGTGACAGGCACTCCTGGTGCTCCAGGGGAACGTAGCTCTTCCTCTCGGCCTCTTCTTCACCTCCTCTCTCCTCTAATGGCGGCTCGGCCGGAGGCTCTAGCGTTAAGTGAGTCCATGAGTCTTCGTTAAATTCCTCTTCCTCTTTGGTAGCCATTTTGATTTAATAATTAGCCACGCCCTTTACTTGCGCGTTAATTAGAATTTTACAAAACCCCTCCTGCTTTTATTTAACCCTTTTCTCACTATATTAATTTTATAAAGAACTGGGTTTTTAATAAGTCCTTGTGTGTTATATCGATACAATGGCTAGTTCAGAGCAGGACGAGGCCCTCCAGTATTTATTGAGTAAGCTTCAGAGTGATGACGGGTGGTCCTGCGCTAATCTGGCCTGGAATAAGGACAGGCTAACAGTCATTGCTGATCAGTTTTCTAATTTTGATGGAGGAGTGAAGAGCAAGCTCCTCCTCTCATTCCTTGCAATGTCTCCTCGTGTCATTGCCAGCTGTAGGGACGAGATGTTTAAACTCCTCAGGCTAGCTCGACGGTGAGTGGGTGGGTGTGTTCGTTATTTTGATATTAATAGTAGACGTCATTAAAGGAGTGATTATTAATTATTATTAATTAGTGACAGTGATGAGTGGGTGCGGTTATTAGCATCAGTCCTTGGTTCCTTTCCATCTGATCAGCTCATCACATTGGATGATGACTCCACAGCTAGTGATATACTAACAGAGCTGTCGGACACTAGTAAGGACCATTGGGCTACTCCTTCACCTCTAGTAACTCCCTCCCTCTCTCTCTCTCTCCTCCAGTCTCTTCTGTTAATGGTTCCTATTCTTGTCCTCAAGAGTTGTCTTATCTAAGTTCAACTGTTCTTAATGAATATATTAATTACAGTCCAACTAATAGTAATCATTTCAATTTGAGACAAAGACCAAAAACATCTTCTCAATTAAGAACTGACGTACTTCACAGAGGTATTAATTAATTTATTATTATTATTATTATTATTATTATTATTATTATTATTATTAGCTGAGATTGATTATGCTCAAGCTGGTTCATTAATTCGTGATAGAATGCTCCAGAGACAGCCATCAACTGGTCAGTAGTAGCCATTACTCTAAGCTCAGCTCACTCTCCTTCCTTTAGGTTCCAAATCATTCGTCTCATTGCCCCAGAGACTCTCCTCATCTGTTCCCATTAAAACTGGACTAATGCAGAGGAGGCACAGGCAGAAAGGAACTAAAGTACATTTTAAATATTAGAAATATTAATGACCCCCCGGGGCCCCCTCTAGTTATTGGAAATTGATGAAGTACCTTTGGCTGGTCGCAGGAAAAGAAAATCAAGTGGTATGTTAATTAACTATAACTTAATAACTATTAATAACTAGTGCTTGATGTTGATACTCCGACTAACAAGAAACTGGCCACACCCACTGGAGCTAGTCCACTTGTTGCTATGGCAACACCTCCATTAGCGGAGGCCACGCCCACAGAGGGTGGGGCTCCTACCCCAGACTATGCTGCAGCCCTGACCAATGATGATAGCTCAATACAGCCACACCTCTCCTCTTATAGCGGAGGGTTCTTCCCTAGCACTCCTCTATCAGCAAAGTCTCTCTCCTCTCCTTTGAAATCACCCGACAAACCTAAAATTAAACCCGTTAGTGTTTCCATGGCAACTGTTGCTAAGACGCCAGCAAGTGCTGAGTCATCATTTTCAGCTGAAGTGATTCAGTCGATACTAACCAACACTAGCATACAGACCACACCTACTGAGCCACACCCCTCAACTACCACTCAACAGCAAAGCCTCCTTGAGGAGAGACAGAGACTCTTACAGCAAATGACCACACCCACTCAAACCACTAACCCTATTGCGCAACCCGTTGCTAAGCAACCAACAAATCGTCTTAAATTGAGCGTAAGCAGTTATCAAGTAGTTTATTAATTATTCCGTTTCTATAGCGACAGCAATTAGCGGTGGCCCAGGAGATATTTAGGGAGGCTCCTCACTTGAACAAGCAGCAGAAGGCACTGATACTAGCCTTCATGGCTGGATCAAGAGGTAACATACTCTTAACTTTAAATTGAGACTGTATCCACTAGTAGAGGGAGGGATGTCTTTTAAAGTGATACACAAAATGATTATTAGTTTAGTAATGTCTTTCTTTACACAGACAATCCTCTCCCTGGTCATGATGTTATATCATTAAAACTGAATCAGCGCCAGCAGCAGGAGTTCACCACCAGCAGTGAAGGAGAGAAGACCCTCCGGACAGTACAACTGGAAACGATATTTGAGATGAACTACAACACAGGACAATGGAGGAAGCTTCAAGTTAAGAGACCGTTGACATCTTAGTGATAGTCCATGCTGTTTGTTATAAATTATCATGAAAGAAATCAAATAATGACACACCAACAACTAGTGTTTAAGAAATGATAGCACCATTACTAATTCATTCCATGGTGCCATTGTTTTAAGAAGTCAATATAACCTCTGCCTCATGATAGCTAGGGGAGGATGTAATGTGACTGGCTCAGAACTGTATGAATATGAATTACTAATGAGATTTTTAACTATAATAAATTACTGGCAGTAACAACTAGTTAATAATAAGTTATTATTAATGAGTCAATCAGTATCCTGATCAGAATCAGAGTCAGAGTGAATACAATACTTGAGGAATGAGTACTGGGGCCCGTTATTGGTACGGAGAGGGTTCTTCAAAGGATGGACCAACTGGAAACTCATCATTTGAAAGGACTTGATGATACTCTTCCGCTGAGGGTCAGGCAGTGCCACTGGTATGAGGCAATACACCGTGAGGACATTAATACTCTCGGCATAATCTAACAGTGATGTCAAACTAGACAAGAAATAATAATAATAATAATAATAATAATGATTTTAGTTGATTTTCTGTCTTTGGCAGGTTTCAAATTGAGCATGTACACAGAGTGAGTGGTTCAAAATGGCCCGTGGGATTTATTTGGCCAATGATTATTCAACTAGGAAAAGGACCAGCTGTACAATACTTACAATTGAGTGCTGAAAGAGGACAGGTTCTTAGTATCAAGATAAAAGAAGAAGGTATCTTCAACATGAAGGACTCTTAAAGACAGGTTGACCCCACCCTCCTTCCCTCCGGGGGGACAGAGAGAGAACTTGAATACTGAGAAAGACGACTCCTGATCCAAATACAGTGAGTGCTGGAGGAGAGACAGTAACATGAAGCAATGGCTGACAATCAAACATCATGATAATACAACAAGAAACTAGTGCCCACCCACACACAATAATTAATGCACTAACCAGGAGTCGTCTATAAGCTAAATTATCATCATCATCAGCTTCTTCCCCACCCTCTAATGTAAAGTCATCAATACAAATGGTCCAGGAACCACCTTCTGGAACCACTGTGGATATGACTGGAGGGGGCGGGGCTAGGGGTGGAGCATAATTTAATTATGGTAATTAATGGCTATATCACTACCTCTGATCTTTTCTGTAAATTTTGTTTCTCGTTTCGAGGACATCTCGAGTGTTTTTCAAAAACTTGAGGCAACTGGTACTGATTTATTATAAAGTGTTTATTATTAACAATGGCGGCGGGTGCTTCTCTTGAAAGAGGTGTTCTTTTAATGACAGACTGGACTGATCCAGTGAAATACGGGCTCACGTAGCCTGCCAGATTACTACAGACAGATCAAGGTGCAGAATACCTTCCAATAAAGACAGAGCTTCTTTTACAAACAGACACAATTCGCCTTCCTCTGTCTCTGATGCAAGGGCTTAAGTCACGTGATCCTTTGTTTGTTGGATCACGTGATCTCTTGCAAGTTTGAAGGTGTGGCTGGTTCAAGATGGTGGGTTGGAAGCATTAGTTTCTATTATCATTATCATTTTATTTTAATAGAAATTCAGGTTTTGTGGAGACCTAGACTGCCCTGATTGGCTCTTGGCTGAGATCAGTACACTCTCAAAGCTAGTAAACTCTTAATTTTATTATTTTATTCTATTTTTGTTATTTGCAGACATCAATTAAAATGAAACAGCTTTGTGGTGAAGTCCTGAAGGATCTTTTGACTGGAGACCTTAATGTAAGTATACTTATATACAAGTAAATGTGCTCTGTTGAAAGTTTGAACTAATTCTGATTTCAATTTTTCAAGTTACAGCGATTTTAAGAAAATGCCAAAAATCTGAAAAATACCTAAGGCTATAGCCCATGGTTTTTTCCAAAAAATAGCTAAAAAATCACACCCAATTTTTATTACATTTTCTGATACATATTGATGTCCTTATGCTGTGTAGAAAGTTTGAGCTGATTCCGGCTTCAATTTTTCAAGTTACGGCCATTTTAAGAAAATGCCAAAAATCTGAAAAATACCCAAGGCTATAGTCCATGGTTTTTTCCAAAAAATGGCTCCAAAATCATCCCAAATTTTTATTACATTTTCTGATACATATTGATGTCCTTATGCTGTGTAGAAAGTTTGAGCTGATTCCGGCTTCAATTTTTCAAGTTACAACTATTTTAAGAAAATGCCAAAAATCTGAAAAATACCCAAGGCTATAGTCCATGGTTTTTTCCAAAAAATGGCTCCAAAATCACTCCAAATTTTTATTACATTTTCTGATACATATTGATGTCCTTATGCTGTGTAGAAAGTTTGAGCTGATTCCGGCTTCAATTTTTCAAGTTACAACTATTTTAAGAAAATGCCAAAAATCTGAAAAATACCCAAGGCTATAGTCCATTTAAATCGGGTCATCACCCTCAAATCTCATTGAAAAAGATACGGTAATTTACATGGTTTTTTCCAAAAAATGGCCAAAAAATCACCCCAAATTTTTATTACATTTTCTAATACATATTGACATCCTAATGCTGTGTAGAAAGTTTGAGCTGATTCCGACTTCAATTTTTCAAGTTACAGCCATTTTAAGAAAATGCCAAAATTTTGAAAATACCAAGGCTATAGCCCATGGTTTTTTTCCAAAAAATGGCCAGAAAATCACCCCAAATTTTTATTACATTTTCTAATACATATTGACATCCTTATGCTGTGTAGAAAGTTTGAGCTGATTCCGACTTCAATTTTTCAAGTTACAGCCATTTTAAGAAAATGCCAAAATTTTGAAAATACCCAAGGCTATAGCCCATGGTTTTTTTCCAAAAAATGGCCAGAAAATCACACCAAATTTTTATTACATTTTCTGATACATATTGATGTCCTTATGCTGTGTAGAAAGTTTGAGCTGATTCCGGCTTCAATTTTTCAAGTTACAACTATTTTAAGAAAATGCCAAAATTTTGAAAATACCAAGGCTATAGCCCATGGTTTTTTTCCAAAAAATGGCCAGAAAATCACACCAAATTTTTATTACATTTTCTGATACATATTGATGTCCTTATGCTGTGTAGAAAGTTTGAGCTGATTCCGACTTCAATTTTTCAAGTTACGGCCATTTTAAGAAAATGCCAAAATTTTGAAAATACCCAAGGCTATAGCCCATGGTTTTTTCCAAAAAATGGCCAAAAAATCACACCCAATTTTTATTACATTTTCTGATACATATTGATGTCTAAAGTTCTAATTGTTATGTTTTATGTGTTTTATAGTATGAACAAGTAGAGAAGTGGACTTCAGCAAGATATGGTAATAATAATAGTCTGTGTGTTGTTATTATTATTATTATTATTATTATTATTATTATTATTATTATTATTATTATTATTATTATTATTATTATTATTGTTATAATTACTTTATTTAGAGGAGTCCGATATCAAAGCAGCTGTTGCAGCATTAGCTTTTATAATGTCGAGTGCAGCAAAGTTCAATGTTGATAGTGACTCACTTGGTAATGAACTACAGCAGCTGGGGCTGCCTAAAGGTACAGGAGGGCCAGTGGGTGTGGCTAATAATATCAATAATGATAGAGAATGTTGGGTCTTTGTGTAAAGTGTACTCTGAGAGTTTAGTCCAGCTCCAGGACTCACTGAAGGGAAGGAGTTTAAGAGGTTAGGAATGAGATAAAGTTTTACCTGATTACCCGTAGAAATTTTATCCTTAAAGTTTACAAATTAGATTCAGTGGATTGGAGAGTTGACTATATACTGAGCTCAAGTAGTTTGCAAGTATGAATATTAATGAGTAATTAATTAATTCATTGATTGATTGATTAGGATATTAATGAACCATCGGTTCAATTAAAACTAACCTCCACAGCTGGTGATTCACTGGCATTCAGCGTTGATGGAGACCAGTTTCGTGTATTACTTAAAGGTGAGGTTTTAATCATTTAAAAATAATTATCATTAATTTAAATTTGAAGATTTAAAACAAGCTCGACAGTTAATGGAAAATCTTTAATTGTTACTGAATATTATAATTAATTAATTAGTTAATTAATTGGGTGTGGTTATTAATATTAATAATGTCATTGTGTTAATAATGTTGTTGTTTCATTGACTGCTCCTCCTCTTCTTCTCTTTATTGTTTTTGTTTTTCTTATTTTTATTATACAAACAAACACGCAAACAAACAATAACAAGACAACGAATCCTATAAACAAATAGCAATAATTGTCAACATAATTTACATAATTAATTAGTTACCTGTTGTCCCCATTAATACAGGAACCCCTACTGTGAAACTTCCACGAGAATATTTTATAATGTCATGTAGTACATTTGCTTGTGTTTTATTGATGGCTCCAACCTGTGTATCAATAGTCAACATTAGTATAAGTTAAGAGTTCCTTACATTAACAATATAGAACAAAGGGTAGTACGTTAGCTCCTTGAGATATCTTAATTGTCTATTTTAAATTAAAATGATATTAATTGAACTACATTTATTGCTACTAACATGAATTCTTCCCTTTGCTTCATTTCAACGTTCACTTGAAGTTTTTTTGCTGCTTTAACTGTTGTACCTGTGATCTAAAATATATTATTTGATTATTATTATTATTAATTATTATTTATTATTATTGTTATTACTGGTTCTACGTTCAGGTATGAATCATGTACACTCTTGTTTGGGTGTAGTCCAGTTATATTTGTGACGAGTTGTGGGTCTCCATCTAAAAAGTGTGGCTTGCTGATAAAGAAAGGAGCATCTAAAATAAAGAATAGATCCATAACTCTTGTAGCAGGGTCCTTACTGAATGGTTCTATAGCTGATACATTGTATAGTCCATTGGGACCGTTGGGGTAGTACCCTGGGTCAATATTTGAAGTGTTCAGTGCTTCAGTAGGAAGTATGAACCGATAGCTCAGCAGATCATAGATATACTCATCACTTTCATATGAGAAATAAGCTGACCTTGGTATGATCATAATCAGTGGTTTATGATTATAGTGTGTTTTATGTACCTCTCAAAATCATCAGTAAAAGCTGTTAGTGTGTCATTCCTTGATACATTGCTGTGGAACACTACAGCATCAGTTCCATTGATCATTCTTGCAGTAGCTGTGCCCCATTCAGATATATCAGTCATTCCATTCCATATATAGAAGTTGCTCCTAATGGCCGAGTCATTCTTTCCTACAATAATTAATGTATGATCAGGCTGTGGCTAGTAACAATTGTACCTGTGTATATTACATTATACTCATAGACCTTTTCTCTAGTCTATTGAATATAATAAATAAAATTAATTCACAAATATTATTGGTTATACTTCAAGTGAGAAGTTTGCCATAGGCAGTAGAGTTGGATCTAACTCATGGACTAGTTTAAAAAGTGGATCTTCGTAGCCCCAGAGTATCTCATCCACTGTTTTACTGACGAACAATGGCTCTATATCAAGCAACTCGTTAATCCAATCACCACTTCTGAATATATCATCAAGGACTTGTTTCCATTCTTTGTATTTTGGATTGTCCTCGATATCCTCCAGCAACTTTAGCAAACCCTGCATGTACATGTACATGTATAGATTAGTCATGTATCTTCCTTGGGTTGTGTCTTACCAGTAGAGGAACATTAATTGTAGTTACTGTAGTTGAGTATGGATCCATCACTGATAGATCATCAGTGTAGAGTATTGTTCTTTTATAACTTAAGAGTGTTTCATCTTTGTTCCAGTACTCGTCCTCATTAGTGACTTCCTTCCTAACAATAATAAAATAAGAAATATCCTGTAGTATAAATGCACTTGATGCTGTAATTTTAAGCAACAAATGGACACGTTTAATAACATTGACGTAAGCTTATTTCTTACAGATATGTGAACGGTCCAATCTCCTCTACATTAGGGGCAGCTCCTTCATACTGAATCTCGTCAGGATTGGTTATATTAAAATAATAAATGTTGTAGATTTCAGGTGGTTGTTTCAACCAAATTGGTGTCATTGGTGAGCTTTTTGTTAACGATAATTCCTACATAAATAATAATAATAACATTGATGATAATAATAACAATAATAAGACCCTTACCTTGTTAAAAATGTAAAAGAATATTTGATTTTTATAATAATACACAACTCCTAATCCAGCAACCAGTAATGTACCAAGTACTAGTAATACTACTCCAGTCCAGCAACAGCAAGACTTTGAACACCTTCTTTTCTTTTGTCTTTGTGGCCTTCCATTAACTTGATGATCTGCAGTAATGCTGCCCCCTTCATCATGACTGGCTACTGGTTCAGTCCTTACTTCAGCCATAGCACTATCAAAGAGAGAGAGGGAGGTATAGGGCTGGGTGGATTATTGGTGTTGAGTTAGCATTATCTCATCTCCCTGGACATGAATACACTCAGTTCAGGACACTACACACACTGATAACTGATAGAATCAACTGGTTAGACTAGATACTGGAACAAGCACATTTACTAAACTTTAAGCCCAGCATACACTATGCAACAACAACTTGCTGCCTGGAGCTTGCAACATGTGGCATGAAATAGAAAACAGTTCTATCTCATGCAACATGTTGCAAGCTCCATTGACTCCTGTATAAACTGTCTTGCATGCAACAAGTAGTCTATGCTGGGCTTTAGCATCATCATTGATAATAATAATAATAATAATAATAATAATAATAATAATAATAATAATACAATCCACACCACAAAGTCCTCTTAAAATTATATTATACAGTAAAGAATCCAGTCAAATTCTTTGTAATGATAATGATAATAATTTAGTCTGTTAAGCTGTGAAGTGCTTGGATTACATCTCCCATGTGTTCCCTCAAGCTTCTTTCAGCTGCAACTTTTGATATTTCTAATTCACGAACCTAATAATAATAATAATAATAATAATAATAATAATAATAATAATAATAATAATAATCTATTCTGATATTTTAAAACTTACAATTAATTCTACATCATCTTTCTTAATGACAACCTTAGCCAACTCTCTTTCCTTTTGGCTCTTGATGGATTTATCTTTAATTATCTCTGATACAGCCTATTAACAATGACTCGGGCAAGGCTTCACGAACACCAATACCTTTCTTATAGTGTCTCCGGATATTTCCTTCTCTTCTACATAATCAGTCACCTTATCGAGATGAACTGCTTCCTTTAGATCGTGTTTCTTTAGCTGTCCAGGAGCGGAACCTCTTTCCTCTATGGATCCTTCTATCAGTTCTTCTGGATCGACATTGGCGGCCATTTTAACTATAGTCAATCCGTATACTAGTAGTGTAACGGAAAATGTTTTTTTTTAGTAGGGGAAGGAATGTGAAAATTGATCTATTTTTCTCCGTATACTCAGCCATTATATTTAATAAGCGAATTAATGAGCAGTAGGCGGAGCTTTTAATTAAATTCCGTATATCTTTAGTGTAACGGAAAATGCTTTTTTTCAATAGGGGAAGGAATGAGAAAATGAACTTTTTCTATTTCCGTATACTCTTCCATTTGACAGTACAGTTCTAAGCCACACCCACTAATCAAAATGGCGTGTAACGGCCTCCACCTTTTGTGATCATTTTGTTGTGTCAGCAGGGAAGAGAAGGTGACCCTGCCTTGCTTATATAACGACTCCACCTTTTAATAAAGACCGTCTCTCTCTCTCTTTCTGTCTTCTTCTCTCTTTCCTTTATACTCCCAACACTCATTTTGGTATCTCTTCGGGCGTGTACCAACTAGAATGTGAGCGACTACCCGTCCCTCACTCCTAGTTATTCTTATCCGCTGTCTCTTTATTCGTCTTGTCTTTATATTGTGTCTCTGTCAGTCAGTCCGTGGTATTTATTGTTGATATGGAGAGATCCTCTTCTAATCCTGAATATGTAACAGTACCTCCTCCCGTTTCTGTTCCTCCTGTCATTATAGAGACAGTCTTACCTCAACCTTCTCCCCCCTCTTCCCTCCCTCCTCCTCCTCCTCCCATTGATGGTTCCACTGAATGGACTCAGCCCACTGGCTCCGAGTCTGTAAAGCTTTTTGTTGGTCAGGTTCCGAAGCATTTTGAAGAGGAAGATTTGCGGCCATATTTAGAACAATATGGTCCAATAGGAGAACTCCTGATACTGAGGCATAAAGCAACCAGACAACATAAAGGTATTGGACTTTGTTGTTGTTTATTTGTTTGTTTATTTGTTTGTTTGTTGGTACGTCGTAGGATGTGCTTTTGTCACATACTTATCACGAGAATCTGCTGAACTAGCCCAAAGAGAACTCCATGATAAAGTTATACTACCAACAGTAAGAGAGAGAGAGAGAGGGGGGAGAGAGAGGTTATGCATATTGTTAAAGTAGGCAGTGTTACCTATTAATAACTGTCCTACTACATTGTTTATAAAGTACTGCCTTCATGAAATATTAACACTTCTACTGCATACACTAACTCATTAATATTCATGAGTCTATACCTCATTATTTATTCATAGATGACACGCCCACTACAAGTCAACGCTGCCGGCACCAAACAAGGTAACGATTTATTATTATCATTATTGATTTATTTGTTATTATTTATTATTTTTAGAAGAGTTGCGTAAAGTTTTTGTTGGTATGTTAAGCAAGACTATTGATGAGAGTCATGTCCGCTCCATGTTCGAGAGGTTTGGTCACATTGAGGAGCTGACGGTTCTTAAAGATAAAGATGGATACAGCAGAGGATGTGCCTTTATAAAGTTCTCGTCAAGACAAGAAGCACAATCAGCCATTAATGAGATGCATGGAAGTGAAATAATGGCAGTAAGAGACAGCATTACAATGATCTGTACTGCCTGTTAGCTAATTATTGAAAAATTTAATCAAAAAAAGAAATTTCAGATTACACGATTGTACTGTAAAATGCCTATTGAGAGGATTTGGGAGAATTTGCTGTTTTGTATAATATAATAGTGTTTGTGTTATTCAAATAAATGTTATTAATATTGTTAATATTGTTATTATTATTATTATTATTATTATTAATGCACAGGGTGCCAGTAACCCTCTGGTAGTTAAATATGCCGACACTGAGAGAGAGAGACATGCTCGGAAGATGCAGAAGGCGATGCAACAGTTTGCGGAACTCTCTCTGAACCCTGTCTTCCAAGTACTGCCACACCCTCAGTTTTTTAACCCCATAGTGTATGCACAGGTAAGTATTATAAATAATTCTACACGTACATGTACATGTACATGTATATTATATTTCATTATATTATTAGTTGATGCAGCAGCAGTCTCCGTTATTATCCGGAGCCACGCCCACCCTATCCCCCGGAGGTCTATATTCACCAGCTCCTCACACGTTACTGTCTCCCTCATCTCCAACTCACGTTCCAAGGTAACCTTATTAATTAGTGGGTGTGGTCATTGTATTAATCACTAGTCCTATTGGTTCCTCTCATGCCGGTGCTACTGGTACTGGTACAACGGCTATTGGGTCGCCCGGTGGCCTGCACCATGGACTGGCACCTGGTGGAATGGGCGGACCTCATACAACTGGACTCTCTCATAACGGACTCCATGGAGCCTCCAGTGAACACATCCACAGTCCTTTACAAAGGTACCCTATACTGTACCAGACTAATGGTCATCTGGGATTACTTTTTAAATATTGCAAATGTTCTAATTTTAATTGGAATCTGCTCAAACTTTCTACACAACATTAGTACATGTTCATGTGCCTATTCATGTTAATTGTTAATTCTCACGTTTGTTAATTATGGTGAGTATTGACTGACTTTAATGATCACCAAAAGTTGCTGATTTGTTCTAAGTACATGCACAGTATAGAGCAGAGACCTCCACTTAACAGACAGCACTTAATCCTTATTGTATAGAATAACCTACACTTCTACCACTTCTTTCCATTATTAATTTATTATTATTATTATTATTATTATTATTATTATTATTATTATCGTTAGTCCATTACACGGTTTCTCTGGTTATGGTCTTCCTTATTCGTTTGCTAATCCGTCAACGTTTGGTGTCCCCTCACCTACTCCTCCTCCTCCCCTACCCTCCTCACAGAAGGAAGGGCCTGAAGGTTGCAATCTGTTCATCTATCACCTGCCCCAGGACTATGGGGACCAGGAGCTAGTGAACCTGTTTGGACAGTACGGCCATATTGTTAGTGCTAAGGTCTACGTTGATAAGAACACTCAACAGAGCAAGTGTTTTGGTAAATAATAGTATCATTTAATTCATTTAACTGATTATTATCACCTATACACTCACTTGCAGGTTTTGTGAGTTATGACAACCCTCAGTCTGCCAGTACTGCTATATTTGGACTCAATGGGCTGGAGATTGGACACAAGCGGCTAAAAGTGGAACACAAAAAACCAAAAGAAAGAAAACATCAGAATTATTAATACCACCACCATGTGAGTTGAACCCTGTATGGTCAGTATGAACTGTAAAGTGTTCCATTGTCTGGTGTATGTGTGCCAGTTGAGTTGGAATTAACAGTTTCTCAAATTCCTTGTCTCCATGGTAACAGGTCACTATATACAGTTCATGTTTCATGATTTGCAGATCACGTTAGAGCAGTTTAGAATTGATGTAGTTTGCAATTCAGGAAAAGTTTGAGATTCTTCTATTGTGTTGATGCCAAGACCTGTGTGTGTGTGTGTGTGTGTGTAATTTTTAACATTTTAAACATTTTTAATGTTTTTCTTTTTTCTTTTTGTAGCATTGTGTGCTTAGCAAGAGAAGCTATTTAAACTATATTAATTTATTATTATTATTATTATTATTATTACTATGTTGCTCTGTCGATTGTCAATTTTATGCCATTGTGTAGAAATAGTCGCCTGATTTTTCTATTTTATTTTATTTCATTTTGTGTTATTTTTTTAGATCCAGAATCTTCTGTATTATTAATAATATTAATTATTAATTATATATTATTATTATTATTTAATCACTTCATGTTTTGACTTAGTGGAGAGAAAAGAAAAATATTTTGTAACTCACTCAATACATACCGTAATAATTCTAATTAATGGGAGAAAAATTTTACAACAATACCGTATAGCTTTTTAATTATTTGAGGCGAAAATATTTCTTTTAGAAGTGCAAGTAGAAAAGAGAGAATCATGTCTTTTATCCCAGTTGCTCCTGGTTGCCATTTTCCTATTCAAAACTTACCCTACGGTATATTCTCCACTGCCAGTAACGTGAGAAAATTGAATTGCAATAAATATAATAATAATTATTATTAATTAGAATACTCCACGCGTGGGTGTGGCTATTGGTGATCAAATATGTGATTTGTCACAAGTCTCCAGTTATTTCACCGGCCCCCTGCTGGGGGGAGAGAGGGCGGCGACCATATTTAATGAATCGTCTCTCAATTCCTTCATGTCACTGGGTAGACCAGCCTGGTCTGAAGCTAGGTCCACTCTACAGAGACTCCTCTCCGCTAATGAAGTAATTAATATTCATTGTCTTTGATTAATTAATTATTTATAGGGTGCTTTAAGGGACAATCCTTTGAGGAATACGTAAGTAATTAATGAGTGGGCGGAGCTCACCAGATAATAATAATAATTATTATTATTATTGTAAATTAGTGCTTTTGTTCCAATGTCTGAAGCTGCAATGTACCTACCAGCAAACATTGGTCAGTAATTGATGTACACACACTACTGCTACCATCCTCTCTCTCTCCCTCCCTCTCCTTCTCCCTCTCCAGGTGATTACACTGATTTCTACTCTTCAAAAGAGCATGCCACTAATGTTGGTACTATGTTCCGTGGGCCGGAGAATGCTCTCATGCCAAACTGGCTCCACCTACCAGTTGGGTATCACGGGCGTGCCTCGTCTGTTGTTGTATCAGGGACTCCTATTAGGAGACCCAATGGACAGACACGCCCTGACCCAGGTAAGGGAGGGTCTGCCTATTAACTTGATAATTAATTAATAGATAAACCTCCTGTGTTTGGTCCATGCAAACTGATGGATATTGAACTGGAAATGGTAATAGTTATATTAATAATAATAATAATTATTATTATTATTAATAGGCATATTTTATTGGTCCTGGTAATTCCCAAGGTGATCCAATACCAGTGGACAAAGTTGATGATCATTTGTTTGGTACATGATGATATGCTGCAATGATATACTTATCCAACATACTGTCCCTCCTCTCTTGATGCAGGTATGGTACTAATGAATGATTGGAGTGCTAGGGACATTCAAAAGTGGGAGTACGTTCCTCTCGGCCCGTTCCTTGCTAAGAACCTTGGCACCTCAATATCTCCCTGGGTTGTGACCATGGACGCTCTCAAACCTTTTATATGTGAGAACCCAGTACAGGTAATGTATACCAGTATTGCTATTATTATTATTTTTATTATTATTATTATTATTATTATTATTATTATTATTATTATTATTTTTATTATTATTATTATTATTATTATTATTATTATTATTATTGTGCTGCTGTTTTCATTCTCATTCTAAAGGATCCCGTTCCATTCCCATACCTGAGACATTCTGATCCATTCTCATTTGATATTAATCTTGAGGTCGGACTCAAAAGTATTCCATTAATTAATTAATTAATTAATTAATTAATTATTAATTATTTTAGCTGCTAGTATGTCTACTCCAACTAATATTTGCAAATCAAACTTTAAAGTACTTAATGCATTTACATCACTACATGACATGACTATCATATTCAATTATAATAATTATCAATAGTATCTCTATTGGACTATCAAGCAGCAGATAGCTCACCACACTATCACCGGCTGCAACCTCAGGCCGGGGGACCTTATTGCTTCAGGGACCATCAGTGGGAAGGTGAGACTAATTGAAGTGGGTGGGTTAGTGGGTGTGGTCTTTATAGACTCCTGATTCCTATGGATCAATGCTTGAGCTCTCCTGGAAAGGAACTAAACCAATTCAACTTGAGAATGGAGAAACTAGAAAATTCTTACAAGTAATACTGCATTCAGCATCAGTATACGTACGTGTACATGTACTTATGTTGTGTAACAAGTTTGAGCTGATTCCGATCAAATTTGGATTTTTACAACTTTATAAAGTTGCTCCAAAATTGGGTAAAAGTCCCTGTACTATAGTACAGGGATTTTGGCCAAGCTTTACCAAAATTGAAAAGTAGAGAATTCTCCATTTTCATAACATTTCCTGACACATGTACTTATAATCTATAGGATGGTGATGAGGTGGTTATTTCTGGTTATTGTAAAGCTCATGATCATTTGGTTGGTTTTGGTGAATGTACTGGAACCATTCTACCGGCTCATAACTGACCACACCTACAAACTGATCCGCCTACTTTCTAACTGTGATCAAGTTTGTTTGATTATTACAAAAATAATAATAAAATATTAATAACTATTGAATAACTAGTTTTCTCTTCTCAGCCCCCACTCTGTCACTTTACGCTGTGCCGTTGCCATGACGATCATACTAGTTCCATTAGCTAAGAAGCTCCTAATAGTTCCTGGTACTATTCCTCTGTACAGACCAACCACACCTCCTCTTTCTTTAACGACCAATCGCATTCTCTGTATCAATGATAAGTCTTTATTGCCATAGCCTCCTTGAATCTGTGATTTCATGTATTCGAATGGCCAGACTACCCACCAAGCAAAAGTTGCTGCGAATCCGGAGACAATGAAAGGTCCGAGGATAGGAATATTGAAGAGGTGAGGGTTCCTCCTCCTATTGTGGTCGATGATGATGAAGTAGGTACACATTAGTCCGACTGTTCTCAGCCAGGTGACCCCAAATCCTTTATAAACTTGTCCTAGTCTCCATTCTTGCTGGGTCTGTCGTCTTATCTTGGCATATTCAAGTGGAGTCTCTATAATAGCACGGACTGTGGAGCCGCAGAGTCCTCCAATGACGACACGATGCTGTAGCCCACAAGTAAAATGAATCTCTCTTTTACCAAACGTGTCATATTTGTCAAGGTAAGTGTAGACCCCCTCAAACACAGCAAACTGAGCTGATCTGAATATACCAGAGCCCATCAAAGGTGGCAGACAGCCTTTATACAGCCCACGTATTCCCTGAGTCTGGAGTGTCTTTATGAAGGAGGAGTACATACTTGATGACTCAAAACCTTTCTGAGCCTGCATCTTTGTCTTGATGGTGTCAAAGGGATGGCCCACAGCTACACTGGTAGTACCATACAGTACACCTACCCCTAGACCTATTAGTCCTTCTCTCCACCAAGAGGTTCTCTTTTCATTGTGTGTCATTATTATCACACTTTAGCACTCACTTCAGTTAGTTGTACTGTGGGTATGGCTATTTGTTCTGGGGGTGCGGCTGGTTGAGATTTTGTGGTTATCAGCCATACCTCAACTAAACCACAAAAATAATACGAATTTTCAGTATTATTATTAATAATCATCAGCACTATTTATCATTATCTATTTCTCTTGCACTTCAGAGAACTGTATTTCAAACCTATTGTAATTGCTCAAAATGAATCGATGATAAATTTAATCTATAATAGATCTAATGCCCACATCTTTAATGAATCCAAGCAAGCACTGCACTGTTATATAACTATTAATAAAACAGTCTCAGACAGTCGCTCTCACTTCCTGCCTGTCTCTTCTTGTGTCATTATACTACCTCTTCTACTAAACACTGTCTAGACTCTTTTGTCTGAGACACCTTAAAAGATTGAGTCACTGCCTTATCGGCCAGGCCCAGACAACAAGACTGTCGACACAAGAGGAGAGAAGAAGAACAAGCCTACAATAAATGGCTATGCAACCTGCCCTACATATTGGCCCTCCCATGGACTTTGGCGGTCTCCCTGGAGCCGGGTATCCTCAGCCAGGGGGTCCAGGGTCAGTCCAGTCTCAGAGCTCCTCTTCCAGCAGTCTAGGAGGAGGGACCTCCATTGAAACTTGTACCAGCATAGTCCACTCCTTGATGTGCCACAGACAAGGAGGGGAGAGTGAGCAGTTTGCTAAAAGAGCAGTAGGTAGGTATTGATGTACACACTAGTCTTGCTATAATGGGCACTTTGGGTAATTCTCTGTTATACAGAGGTGTCCTTTATGTGGAGGTTATTTTATACAGTAAGGAATGTAATTGGTACACTAGGTGCCGTCCGTTAAATGGAGGTGTACGCTATAGAGAGTGTCCATTAAGAGAGGCTATACTGTATACACGTACATTTACTATTTGTTTGTCTATAGAGTCGTTGGTTAAGAAATTAAAAGACAAAAGAGATGAGTTGGAATCATTAGTGACAGCCATTACCACCAACGGGGCTAGACCATCAAAGTGTGTGACAATACCAAGAACTCTTGATGGAAGACTTCAAGTAATAGCGATGATAATATTAATTATTGTTATTATTAATGGACAGGTGGCTGGTCGTAAAGGGTTTCCTCATGTGATATATGCTAAGATTTGGCGTTGGCCTGACCTACACAAGAATGAGTTGAGACACGCCCAGTTCTGTCAGTACGCCTTTGACCTCAAGTGTGAGAGTGTCTGTGTGAACCCGTACCACTATGAAAGGGTTGTCTCTCAGGGTAAGGAGAATGACAATGGTTATTGATACTTTTAAATGTTTAGAAACATCCCTTACTTGTCCCTATACAATAGAGAGTGTATTAATAAAATGATGGACAGTGTTTAGGACAATGGGTTTTGTGTTAAGACTTGTTTTCATTTGAAATGTTATGACTAAACTTCTTATTAGTTCCATTCAAGTTGACATCCTCTACCTATTATTGATACTGTTACATCCTCCCTCCCCCTCTCTCTCTCTCTCTCTCACGCTCTCTCCCCCCTCTCTCCCCCCCTCTCTCTCTCTCTTTTGTAGGTCCAAGTTCTTCAGATATTGTTGGTTCTAATGTTGTTCATCACATCAGTAAGTTATTATTATTATTAATGAATTAATTAATTAATCACTGATTTATTAATAGCCTCTCCACCTTTATTACTAAACCAGGAATCAATGGAGGAATCACCTGGTAATTAATAATGATAATAATAATAAATATTATTATTACAAGGTCCAGATGCTCAGTCCCAATCAGGAGGTGGTGGATATATGAATACACAGGACATGATGGCAGCTGCTGCTAGTCAGCAACAGGAATACATGGATACTCAACTCTCTCATGTCCAGGCTTTAAGTAATTAATATTCATTAATAATATTAATTAATTAATTATTCATAGGAGGGTTAGGTGGATGGGGTCTGCCTGGGGCTTCCCCGTACAATTCAATGACCAATCAGATTGACCCAGCACTCCAAATGAACCAACCTCCGCAATATTGTAAGAAATTAATATTTATTATTATTATTATTATTATTATTGTTATTATTATTATTGTTATTATAGATAATCCTGGTAGTTATGTCCCTCCAGTTCCACAAGCAGTAGCCCCTCCCCCTGCCCCGCCTACTAGTAATTCTGTTACTAATAATAGCTATACCCCATCACCGTTACTGAAACTACCTCATACCATGAGTAAGAATACAATCATTATTGTGTGTGTGTGTGTGTGTGTGCTACATTGTACATGTATCATGTTAATGAACGTCATCCATTAATATTTGAAAATTAACCCCCCAATGCCCCCCATCAAACTATATTCCCCCTTGTAGCTCCTGATTTTTGGTGTAAGATATCATATTATGAAATGGATGCTCCAGTGGGTGAGTGCTTCAAGGTCCCCGCTAGTCTGACCTCAGTCTCAGTGGACGGGTTTGTTGATCCTTCAGGAGGTGACAGGTTCTGCCTCGGGCGTTTATCCAATGTCCACAGAACAGAAGCTAGTGAAAGGGCCAGGCTCCATATTGGGAAAGGTAAGTACACCTGCAGATTGTCCATTACTAGCTTAAACTGAGTACCTTACTGACTGTACAGACTCTGTACAGTCAGTCCTTTGGTCTCTCTGTGGTCCATAGCTCTGACCACAACAGGCTAGCATGTGCTTAGCATAATCCTCCTTCTCTAATCTCCATAGTCAATCAATGTATTATTATTATTATTATTATTATTATTATTATTATTATTATTATTATTATTATTATTATTATTATTATTATTATTGTTATTATTATTATTATTGTTTAGGTATAATTATTGAGGAGAAGAATGAGACTGAGGTTTGGATCAGGTGTGTCAGTGAGCATTCGGTCTTTGTTCAGTCCTATTATCTCGACTATCAAGCTGGACGAGCACTAGGAGACGCTGTCCATAAGATATACCCTAAAGCTTATATAAAGGTACACTTTAACATACTGTCTTGTATAGCTGGTTTATTTTGCTGATTTGACATTAAGTTTTATCAAAATTCCTACAATGATAATAATAATGATAATAATAATGAATGTTCCAGGTGTTTGATTTGCGCCATTGTTATGAGGAGATGCAGAAACAAGCTCATGAAGCTTGTCTTGCAGTAGCCAACCAAACAGCAGCAGTAAGAGGTAAGCCACTCCTTCTCTTCCTCCTCCCATCACCCTCTCTCCCTCTCCTCCTCTCTCTCCTATAAAGGTGGTTCCTTACCAACAGCAAGGATAGATCCTAATCTGGCAAGAAGTATTGGTGTTGATGACTTAAGACGATTATGCATCTTAAGACTGAGTTTTGTGAAAGGTTGGGGCCCAGACTACAGGAGACAGAGCATCAAAGAGACTCCGTGTTGGGTTGAGATTCATCTAAACCGTGCCCTCCAGCTCCTGGACTCTGTCCTAACCCAACTACCCTCTGAGTCACAAATACAGGATTCAGTCGTTGGACAGAATCCTCAGTTCTCGTCTTAATTGACTCCGCCCTCTCTCTTTATTAATTATGAATAATGTATTGAGTTAGACTTACTAATGTCATTATGTCCTGTTCTATTAATAGTAACAGTGTCTATTAATAGTAACGTATTAATCGTTATATTATTAATTCACGTCAGCAACTCATCTATTATCTTTCTATTATTATAATTTTTGTTATTGATTTTTTTCTGGAAATAAAATGAATTATGTAATTAATGATACCAAGAGTACATAATAATAAAATATTAATGAGAGGATGTACTTACTGTGCGTGGGTGTATCTTCCTGTAAGCAGCTAAAGATCTTTGTTTGTTTAGACCTCCTCTTTCTCTTTTTCTCCTGTCCTGGTCTCCTAGTCATGGCTGAAACTGATGGCAAACCTCGTGTATTAGTAACTGGAGGTATCAGTTGTTGTTATTATTCCTACTGCTAGTCACTTTCTATTTTGTTTTTGGTGTAGGCGTTGGATTTGTGGGTAGGAATTTCGTCCAGTTTCTTGTTGAGAACAATTTAGCTTCAAAGATAAGAGTCATTGATAAAGTCCCGCCAAGCACTGGCTGGTTGAATGATAAACACAAGGTAATCAATGAATACAACTTCTTGTGCACCTCCTTATACACTGTACATTTGTAAGAGGCTGTAGCTCGGACTGTAGTAAAGTTATTCTAGTATCAGCGAGTCTTGTACAGTATAGCCTCTCTTAATGGACACTCTCTATAGCGTACACCTCCATTTAACGGACAGCACCTAGTGTACCAGTTACATTCCTTACTGTATAAAACATTGTAAAATAACCTCCACATAAAGGACACCTCTGTATAACAGACAATTAACTTTCTTGATCCAAAATGTCTATTGTAGCAAGCCTACATCATTAGATTATTTTTGTTTCTCGTATTTAGGAAATATTCAAATCTGTTGATTTCTGTCAGGCTAATCTTTCCAATCCTTCATCCTGTCAGAGGTTGTTCAAGGATTCAAACGGTCTTGGGTTCGATTATGTTTTTAATTTAGCAGCTGAAACTAAATACGGACAGACAGAGGAGGTAGGCAGAGCTTACACTGTACGTGTGTGTTACCATGCCAACAGGTGTACAAGGAGCTGGTTTATAATGTCAGTGTTAATTGCGCCAGAGAAGCAGCTGCCACTGGAGTCAAGAGATTTATTGAAGTATCTACTGCTCAAGTCTACAACAGTGACAAGGTAAGGGACAGCAGTAGCACTGATACATGTATGTGTATCAGGAAATGTAATAAAAATAGAGAATTCTTTCCTTTTCATTTTTGGTGAAATTTGGCCCGAGACCATGTGCTATAGTACAGGGACTTTTACTTGATTTTTGAGCAACTTTTAAAACTTATAAAAAGTCCAATTTTAATTCGAATTAGCTCAAACTTTCTATGCAACATAAATGCATGTATATGCATCAGGAAATGTAATAAAAATAGAGGATTCTCACCTTTTTGTTTTTGGTGAATTTTGGGTAATAGTACAGGGACTTTGGTCCAATTATTGAGCACTTTAAAATTCATAAAAATTCAATTTGACTGGAATCAGCTAAAGCTGCCACAGAGCACAAGTACATGATTACACGTTCGTATTGATTGGTTTTATGTGATATATCGTACATTAGGGAATCAGCTCTGAGGATAGTAAAGTTGATCCGTGGACATTAATCGGAAAACATAAACTGGAGGCAGAGAAATCCCTAGCTACTATACCAGAGTAAGAGATAAAGAGGGAGAGAGAGAGAGAGAGGGAGGGGTATTTGTGGTATGCAAACTATGTATAAAGATATTGTCAATGATTGTTTAGGATATAATGTGTTATCATAATTATTGACTTTTACAGTTTGAAGTATGTAATACTGAGACCAGCCATAGTCTATGGGATTGGAGACAAATATGGAATAAGTTAGTTATCAGTAATTACGATCAGTAGTAATTGAATTAATCCTTTACCCTATTAGCTCCTAGACTGATAATTGGTGCTGTTTATAGACAGCTTAAAGAAAAAATGGAGGTAAATAGCCACCTATAGTTATAGCTCCTACTGTCCTTTCATTAGCTGCTCTGGACCAAAGACTTGAGAATGGACACTGTCCATGTTCATGACTTGAGTAGAGCAATGTGGCACATTAAGGACACTGGGGCCAATGGAGAGATATATAATGTGGTGGATCAAGGACACTCAAGTATGTGATCTGATATTAACATGATATTAACATGATATTAACATGATAGCTCAAGGAAGTATATCAGAATTAGTATCGACCATATTTGGTATCCGATACGGTTACCATGGTACCGTCCTGTCTAACCTGGCGAGACTGAACATGACTGATGTGGTTGATGGTTCCAATGAGAAGCACCTGGGCCCATGGTCTGAGGCTTGCAATGAATGCGGTATCGTTAATACTCCTCTCACACCTTACCTGGATAAGGTACTGTACATGTACATAGGTCTATTATTAGTATATTGTTAGTATATTGTTAGTAATAGTGTATTTTTTGTATATTGTTAGTATATTGTTAGTCAGTGTTGTTTAGTGTTTCAAATAATGCTGTTATATTGATGATTATGATAATTCCAGGAGCTCCTCTACAATAAACATCTTCACATCAATGGATCAAAGCTGGAAAAAACTGGATTCACCTTTGAACATCCAAAGATGACAGCTGAAGGATTGAAACAAGTCAGAACAATAAACCAATTAATTCATTAACAATAATTAATGATAATTAATGATAGGTTGTTGATGATTATGTTGGTTCTGGTCTGTTCCCCCCATCTCTAGCAGCAGCAGCAGCATCCAGTGAAGACTAGTTATTAATAGTTATGAACTGGTTATTAATAGTTATTAAACATCATTATTAGTTTTCATTATTTTTAATTCATGGTCTGTCATTTTTGTAGTATTCAAATGTTAAATGAAGAGAGTACATCAATATCATGTTTCAATATATCATGTTAATATCATGTTAGCAGTGCATCAATATCGTGTTAATATCATGTTAAGACGGTTGATTATAGATTATTAGTTGTCTGTCATCAGAAACTGAAGCAGCTCTAGTCCCAGTATTGTTATAAGCCACGCCCCATACCTATTAATAACGGAATATTAGGACACACCCACTAGAGGTCTCACCTGGTCATTATGCTCCTTAAAAGTGTGGTTACATTGTCTTGAGGTGGTATCCCATATCTTAACTGACCTATCACTTGAACTATTAGAGAGGGAGGGGAGAGAGAGAGAGGGAGGGAGGGACAGACAGTGTTACAACATGATGCACCAGTAGGTATGTTAACAGACAGAGAGTAGACACATACATAAACATACAGACATTATATAGACATTCTTTTAACATATGTCCAGACACACACAGTCTCAGACAGTTATTACTCATCATGTGCTGTGGTGATACCACCAGTCAATAGATGAGGAAATACACTGTACAGTACACGTACTGTATCATGTACATGTATATGTATTCACACATCAATGAGATATGTACGTGTACTTGTATGTATTCATCAACCAAACATTCATTACTGAGTGAATCCTTATACATGAACATGCACCCATTGTCTATACTGTCTGGAATCAGCTCAAGCATAAGAACACTGTGTAACATGTATACTGGACAGATAATAATTTACCCAGTCAATATGTGTTGATTGTCAGAGGAGAAACAGACAGAGAGGACCCAGGAACTGTGTCCAGATATAGTACTGACAAGGTTGCCATGTTGACTATCAGAAGGACACTCTATAGTAGAGAACAGAATAAGTGACACATCATTTCTTACACATCATATATTTTAATGTCTTTATCATCAGAGGCAGTTACCAGCAGCTGTGAATCAGGAGAGAAACATAATGACCTCACTGGCATAGCATGACCTGTGGGGGAGGGGAGGGGTCAGTGTGTTAGGAGAGGGGAGGGGTCAGTGTGTTAGGAGAGGGGAGGGGTCAGTGTGTTAGGGGAGGGGAGGGGTCAGTGTGTTAGGGAAGGGGAGGGGTCAGTGTGTTAGGGGAGGGGAGGGGTCAGTGTGTTAGGGGGAGGGTTACCTTCAAGGGTGTGTAAGAGTTTACCAGACTGAAGATCAAATAGATTAATAATTCCATCAACAGCTCCACAAGCAATCAACTTATTGTCAGGAGACTGAGAGATAAGGGACGAACACATTATTATTATTATTATTATTATTATTATTATTATTAATTACACAGGCTACGCTGAGTGTAAATTTCCCTCGTGTGTCGAAAGAGTTCGACTTTGATCCACTTTCAATCTCGTACAGATTAATCTTGCCGCCATGACTACCAGTTGCTAGGTAACGGCCATCAGGTGTGAAAACAACAGTCCACACGTCCACTAGAAAGGGCGGAGTTAATACCAGTATAAGAATTGGACTCACTTGGTCCTCTGTCAATGCTCTTTATGAAGGAGCCACTTTCAAGATCCCATAATCTGATGTTACCATCCAGTCCACTTGAAGCTAAAACTATGAATAATTAATTAAATTAATGAGACCACACCCATTTTCATGTACTTTTAGCGGTAGGATCTGTTGCCACGGAAACTACTCCTAATTGATGCCCCTCAAGTGTAGCCCGAAGGTCCAACATAGACAGCCCGTCACTCCTGGTGGGTGTGGTCACTAGTTAATTATTATTTATTACCATTTACCAGCTCCATATTTTGGTTGTGTTGTCCACGCTACCAGTGACCAGGTACTCAGTGCCGTCGGTCGATGGGTTAGACCAGTAGACACACCATATACCATCCTCATGAGCTGTAGATCACGTGAGGATCACGTGATCAGTTAATATAATAACTTACCTTGTTCTTTTCTTGCTAATACACTGAACTAATGCAAAGAAAATAATAAAATAACAACAATCACAATCTACCATGATAATTCTTGTTTTAAAACTAAGTGAAGAAAGGGTTAAATATGAAATCACACTCAGTTGAGTGAGTGGAGCCATACTGGCTGGTACTTAAAGTAATTGTTGTATAATTAATTTATTATTTTATTATGTAGGAGTAAGGACCTTATAGCCTTGATAAAGGAGAAAAAAAACTAAAAAAACAAACGGGACTTTATCGTTTTAAATCCGCCATTTCCACGTGGTTAGAATAACCGGACAAAACCACAACTCCGTTTATTTCAACCACGTGCTCTTATCTTGAGTACAGTTCTGTGAAGATGAGCAGGACTGGTGGCGGTAAGAAGCTGAAAGGGACCGGAGGGAGTACTAGAGTAGACAGGAGCCGCCAGAGGGTCTCTTCTCCTGGTGGGGCTAAGAGTAAAGGAAGCAGTAGCAGGAAGGTTTCTCTACCGTTCCTCATAGCCTCTGGAGTGGGCGTGGCTCTAGTATCAGTATTGATTGCTGTGTGTGTACGCTGGGCTATGACATCATCACTGAATCAACCAATCGGATTGCCTCGCGTCATTAACGATGAAATGATGGGAGGGGCCCAGTACAAGGAGAGACTGTGGGGGAGCTACAGGTAATTAATATGGGGCGGGGTTTTGTTCTAATTAATGCACACTTTAGATCAAACGTCTATTTTGGAATGAGACCACGATTGCCACGGTAATTAATTAATTATTTATTTATTTATTTATTATTGCGTACATTTACAGGTCTTTAGTGGTTGGAATGGCCTGGATGTATGGCCTGGCCACACCCACTGGTGAAGTATCTCTATATATTCGTCACACATGTCAACATGCTGATAATCTTGGGAGGTATGGGTGGGGCCAGCATGATGGAAGGAGCTTTGGACAGCAAGAAATAACAGACTCTTGTAAGTGCAGTCTAACCAGTAGGTTGCACGAAATCTGTGACAAGCAAAACCTCATAGTCTATATTAGTAACATTATCAGTATTAGATAATGGATGGACATTAGTTCCATTGTCACGAAATTTGTGACAGTTTTGGACCAATTTTAGAGCAAATTAAAAAATTTGTTACAAATCCAGTTTTAATCAGAATTAGCTCAAACTTTCTATGCAACATAAGCACATGTATGTGCATCAAACAAAGTTATAAAAGTGGATAATTAACTCTACAGTATATGATCATTACTGGCCCTCCTCCTCTAGATATGAAACTCTCCACCAGTTTTATCATCAACACGTTACCAGGAGCACTTGGTGAATCATGGACTGCCAGGATCAGGGCAGACTCTCGCTCGTCTGAAAATGCGACAATATCATTATTGTTCTATGTATTTAATGAAGGGACGGAAGAATTGAGTTTTGAATTAGGAAACTCTGGAAGCACTATTGAAAGTATTACTGGAGACATTGATACGGTAAGAGAGAGAGACAATATTTTTATTCTGATAATATATGATGTGTTCTTTTAGATTGGTAACTTTAGGATTAATTTCACACCAACCGTTGCTAGGCAACCGTATTACAGTTACCTAGCAACCGATCTTAACAAGATCAGTCTGTTATCTCATTTTATTGAGACGGTACTGAAGGAGGGGCGGAGTCCATTGTTCCCTGGAGAGCGATACATATTTGACTCTAAGAAAACAAAACTAGTCGTGTATCAGGTAATGGGTGTGGTTTACAGTTATTAGTAGTTATTAATTGTTATTAATTGTTAGATGCATGGTCAGTTGCCGTTGGAGTTTGAGGTCACGTATTCATCAGGGGAACAGGTTCCGCTGGTCGGGGAGAGGTTTAGAGAGGAACTGGCTAAATATTCAAATTATTTTAATAAGAAATTTGAAGAAACGTTCAACCTTAAAGAAAAGGTATTTGGAAGTTGAAGTTGCTATTGTTATCATTATATTCCAGGGATTCTCTGATGATATGATAGTTTTTGCACAGTCAGCATTTAGTAACTTAATTGGAAGCATTTCGTACTTTTATGGAGAATCACTGTTAGTTAATAACTATTAATAACTATCAATAACTATTCATTTTAGCGTAATGGCTCCTGGTATGAAGAAACCAATAGTAAGTGTACTATTATTAATTAATATATTATTATTATTATTATTATTATTATTATTATTATTATTATTATTATTATTAATGATTAGAATTATTTCCCAGCCCCACTATACACTGGGGTCCCTTCTCGTTCATTCTTTCCTCGTGGTTTCCTCTGGGACGAAGGATTCCACCAGCTACTAGTAACACAATGGGACACTGACATTGTAAAGGTACAGCTACAGAGCACATGTACTCGTGTAATGTGATAGAGGGTGTTACTGTTATTGTGAATGTATTATGTGGTGGTAGGGTATCACTGTATACCACTGTACATGTACATGTACATGTATAATATGTGATACATAAGAGGGTGTCATTGTGTGTAGGACGTATTGGGTCACTGGTTGGATATGCTCAATGCTGATGGTTGGATCCCTAGGGAGCAGATATTGGGGGAAGAGGCTCTTAGCAAAGTACCTGAGGTATTTACCTGGTTGCTATGGTCACTGTTGCTATGGTAACCTGTGTATGCAGGAGTTTGTGGTTCAGTACAGCAGCAATGCTAATCCTCCAGCACTGTTCCTCACTGTGGAGGCACTGGTGGATAGGATGGAAGGAACTAATAAACTGATGGTAATAAACACTTAAAGCGAGGGAAGCTGATTCTGACTTCACCTTTTTAGGATGTTAATTATTTAAAGAGAATATATCCAAGATTAGAAGCATGGTATAACTGGTTTATTAGGACGCAGGTAATGATCACGTCCATTTCAATATTACTTTATACCTATAATTAGAAAGGCCCAAGGCCCTTCACTTATCAGTGGAAGGGAAGGAATGGCTCCACTTTCAGTGAACTGAACCCAAAGACCCTTACCTCAGGACTGGACGACTACCCAAGGGCCTCCCACCCAACCAGTGATGAGTACCATATTGACCTCAGGTGCTGGCTCAGCCTAGCAACTAGTGTATTAATTAAAATTGGAAATATCATTAAAGGTATCATGTGATATTATTATTAATTATTATTATTATTTATTATTATTAGTTCCTACTGATGATTATAAAGAATATTTAAAGTCTTTGAATGATTTTGATACTTTGAATAAACTTCATTGGGACACTAAGAGACAGGTGAACAGAGTTTTACTGAGTTATACTGAGTTATACTGATCCAATAGGTATACAGTGATTACGGGTTACACACTTCTAGTGTTAAACTAGTTACTGATAGAGACGCTAATCCTCGTAAGATGTTAATAATGTTTAATTATGAAAGGATCCTCCCTTTCTTTCTTTAGCTGTTAAAATTAGGAAAGTTATGAAAGAGCCTCGTTTGAAGTATGTTAACTAATATATTTATTCATTTATTTATTTGTTTGTTGTTGTTTATCAGATTTGTTGACAGTTTTGGTTATGTTAATTTGTTTCCATTTTTGATGAAACTGTTGCCACCTGATTCACTCCAGCTGGAGGCTACCCTCACTCATATTAATAATGAATCAGTAGGTTCCTGTTCCTTTCATTCCTGCTGCTATTATTAATGACTTTTATAGTTACTGTGGACAGATTATGGTTTAAGATCTTTATCAAAGTCTGATCCTTTCTACAGCAAAGTAAGACTATATAACATTTATGTGAAATTGCTCAAAAATTGGCCAAAGTCCCTGTACTATTAGCAAGGCTGCAAAAGTCGTGGCAGCCATTTTTTTGGGGGTGAATCCTACTTAGTAATGCTACCGCGTTACTAATAGTACAGTGATTTTGGCAAATTTTACCAAAATTAAAAAGGAGAGAATTCTTTAATTTTATTACATTTTCTGATACATATACTTATGTTGCATAGAAAGTTTAAGCTGATTCCGATTAAAATTGGATTTTTTATGAATTTTTGAAGTTTCTCGAAAATCAGACTAAAGTCCCTGTACTATAGTACAGGGATTTTTGTCAAATTTCACCAAAATTGACAAGTAGAAATTTCTCAATTTTATTACATTTTCTGATGCATATACATGTACTTATGTTGTGTAGAAAGTTTGAGCTGATTCTGATTAAAATTGGATTTTTTATGAATTTTTGAAGTTGCTCGAAAATCGGACTAAAGTCCCTATACTATAGTACAGGGATTTTTGTCAAATTTCACCAAAATTGACAAGTAGAAAATTCCTCAATTTTATTACATTTTCTGATGCATATAAATGTACTTATGCTGTGTAGAAAGTTTGAGCTGATTCCGATTAAAATTGGATTTTTTATGAATTTTTGAAGTTTCTCGAAAATCGGACTAAAGTCCCTGTACTATAGTACTGGGACTTTGGCCAAGTTTCACCGAAGTTGAAAAAGATATAAATAAAATTCTTCATTTTAATAATATGATTTGTTTCTTTACAGGCTAACACAGCTCATGATAAGCCATATTGGAGAGGTGCTATTTGGATTAACATAAACTACTTAACTTTGAAAGCTTTGAATCATTACAAGAATATAAAAGGACCTTATCAAGAAATAGCAGGAAATATTTATAAAAGATTGAGGTAATAATAATAATAATACACATGTAATAATAATAATAATAATAATAATAAAGTAAACTAATGTAAGTGATCCTAAGCAATCAGATCAGTGTACATTGAACCTTTCATCATGAAAGGAAACTTATAGTTGGAACCTAATGGAGGTCTTTTAATTACTTTCTTGTCCAGTCCTTGAGGATCCTAAGGTGCTGTAGTTACTAATGGTTAGGTAAGGTGGAGTGACTGTTGATAAAGAAGATTATATACATCTCTTTTTTTAACTTTTGCTGCTGGAGAAATTTTGAACAGCTGCTCAGTCTTATCTTGCTCACCATTTACTGCAAAAACTTACTAGACCTACTGTTACCTAGCTGCCATTTTTTTACTTTCACAGTAAGATAAGGTTATTCAACTTAGACTAGCCATGCAAGCTGGCAAACTCTTCCTACTCTTTTGTCTTAGTGTGGCTCCCTTAGTCTATTTTAATAATATCTATATTTATTTTTTAGGAATAATATTATTAATAATATGTATACACAATATAAATCAACTGGATTCATTTGGGAACAGTATAACGATAGGAATGGAAAGGGCAAAGTGAGACAATTATCATCATTAATTAATTAATTAATTGATTGATTACAGGGTACACACCCATTCACTGGCTGGTCTTCACTGGTTGTGTTAATAATGTCTGAAAAATATTAATAAAAGAATGGACAATTAACAATTAGTAATAATAAATTACAATACATTAATAAATATTAGTATAATGTTGTTATTTTGATGTCGTCATCATCTTTTTCTTCTATTTTTTTCATGTTGATGTCAAGTCTGTTACTAAATATAGAACAATACCTTTAATTCTAAAAATAGAATCCATCCATTACCTTTTATGGGGTAATAGCCTTTTCTTCTTATAGAAGCAGTATCCACTGGTAACGAACACACTAATTAATATAATAATGATCAATACTGTTCCACCTGCTCCTGAACTAATGCTAATTATTAGGTTATTATTATCATCATTATTAATGATGCAAAATTGTCCATTAAATCCAAACTGCCTCTCATCGTTGCATGTTGTGTCCATTTTAAATATTTGCCCGTTCACATTCAAAGTTGCATTACCAGCAGACAACCATTCCTCCATTAGCTGTAGGTATCTACTGGTACTGGTGGAGTATAGGTTAGCCGAGAATAGGACCACACCCTCTTCCCTGGTACATGTAAATCTTCCGTTGTTAATGTATTCTGATGAAAACTGGCAGTCATAGCAACGCTCCTGTATTGCCATGGTGACAGCGTTAATGATATCGTGTATTTTAATGAATTTATTACTTTCCTGTTATAAAGTAATCATTCTTAATAATTAATTAACATTAACTTACACTCCAACTGTCACATGTATCTGTGTTTAATAAATTAATTATTAACTGTATCTTTTCGAAACTTGTAACTACATAAAGAAATAACTATTAATAATTACTGTGTATATTAATGAATAGTATTGCTAGTACTGTTAATGATGAAAGGGCTGCTATTGGGTCCGGTTCCAATGGAGTTGTTAGCAGTTATTGTCACACAGTATATCAGTGAAGGAACCATCACACCACCTCTTGTTGCTATGGTGTGATTAATATTACTGTTAGTATCATTATTATTAGCTGGTGCTGAGTCTGTTGCTACTGGTTCAATCCCACAGGTACCATTAACATATGATGATATATTTATATTATAATTGCTAATGAATCCACGAGCCTCAGTCAATGCTAAGGGACTCCACACCAGCTGGACAGTGTAATCATTGACCCACTCAACACTTTGTATAGTAACAGCACCAACTGGAGCTACAAGTGAAAAGAAAGTTAGTGTTTTAAAAGCTCCTTCCCTTACAAATTAGCTTTACCTAGTTCAGCAGTGAAGAAATGATTGGAAGTCTGTGGCAGTCCTGGACCAAAAATATTACTAACAACAACCTGATATGAGTACAGTACACCAGGACCTTATTAATAACGAAAATAAATAATAATAATAATAATAATAATAATAATCAATAATAATAACAATAATAATAATAATAATAATCAATAATAATAATAATAATAATAATAATCAATAATATCTTACTTAGATTATTAATGATAACACTGTATTCACTTCCAATGACACTGACTGTCCTACTCCCTATTGTAATGTTATACTGAACTGGTACACTCTGCCCATTGTGGGGTTTGTTCCAGTGTATTTCAACTGCAGTGTTGTTCAATACACTAATACTTGAATTAGTAATATACCCTAATATAAATATTATAACAGTATAACGATACATCTACACATACCAGGAGAAGGAAGTGGATTAGGCATATAGCCAATACGAGTGTCATTAACTATAATAATAATAATAATAATAATAATAATAATAAGTATTAGGTTATAATGGATTACCCAGTTTATTTCCATCACATCTTAAGCCAGAGTCTTCATTATGACTGCAGTCACTGGTGCCAATATCAACTGAACAGTACTTGAGGTCTGTCTCATTTCCTGTACAATTGATATCTTTAAATTGAACTGGACCAATTCCTGGACCAAACTTATTGCCACTGAATGTTCTAACATCTAAATAATGATAATAATTGAATCAGAATCAGCTCAAACTAAATATGCTACACAAGTACATGTATATGCATTAGACCTTACAGGTTGGATCATATCCCAATTGGTAACAAGCCACTCTTGCGTCTTCAGTAGTCCATCCCTTGTGACAGATAGTTCCCCATTTCTTGTTGTAACAAACTTCAATTCTTCCTCCATTCTCTCCTTCTTTATCGGCCAATCTAATGTCTCCATTTGTACATGTATCCTGACAAACCACGCCCACATCATTGTCATGGTTACAGTTAACATCGGACCCGGTACCAAACACACAGTCTGTTATTGATTGTTCGTTCCCTTGACATGAGAGTGAGGTCAGGGCTATTCCATACTCCGTACCTCCTCCATAAAAACCTCCTTCCCTAACTTCAGCTCCTTCATGAGGGTACCCTAACTGCTTGCAGACTATCATTGCGTCTAGTTCATTGAACCTGTTGTCACAGACTGTTCCCCAGTGACCTCCCAAACAGACCTGCAGTCTTCCATTAGTTACATTGTTACCATCAACTAGTGATACACTCCCAGTGGTACATGCTCCAATACACTTGACTCCAACATCTTGGTTGTGTGTGCTGCATAAAGTAGCTTCATATTTATCACAGAGCTCAATGCTTTCTTCACTCCCTGTACACTGAACCTTTGTGTATTGGAATGGATCAGCTCCTGGTCCAAATTCATTATAAGCAGCAGGTTGTGCAGCTATTAAGAGACCAGCATAATGTGTATACAGTATCCAGTGTATCTTACCAGTGTGGGGTAGTCCTAACTGTCTGCATATAACAGTTGCTTCTTCAGCTCCCCATGATCCCTCAGTGTCACATATGGTCCCCCACATCTCATTCGCACATATTTCAACACGTCCTTCATTGGGAGCTCCTCCTTCAATGAGTCTCACAGTCCCGTTAGTACAACTCTCTTCACACCCCACCCCCACATCATCATAATGAGAGCAGTATATCCCAATGGTGGTCTTGGTGCAGTTATTGAGGTGTGTCTCAGACCCATTGCATTGAACATAGTTATAATGTATCTGCCCCCTGCCAGCTCCAAACTGACCATCCCTGTACACCCTGGGACCTAATGGTATAAAAACAGATAGTGTAATGTTATCAGTCACTTACTGCTTGCTGGTAGTCCCAGTTCAATGCATACAACTCTAGCGTCATTGACATCAAACAGGTCCTTACAGACAGTGCCCCAGGTATCGTCAACACTGACCAGTAGTCGACCATACTGAGGTCCTGGTATTAACATTGGTTGACCAGCATACCTCCACTGAGGGTAGCAGGTTAATACAGCATTGGGGCAGTTCTTGTAAGTGTTGTAGTCATCAAAACAGTTAGCAAGATTGCTCTCATATCCATTGCACCTTATTGAACCAACTCCTGGTGAACCTGATGACCACCAACTGTATGAAAAATAGAATGTACTTACTACAAATAAATATATAAATAAATAATAATAATAAATTGATAATGTTATTTCTTACCTTTTGTTGATCCAAATATTGTCCTGCATGCTACAAGTGCATTTTTTGACACGTAAAGGTAATTATCAATAATACAGGCTTTGCTCCATGCTCCATTATGACAGATCTGTAGTTCTCCTTCAAAGCTGTTCTCTCCATTAGCCAGTCTTATGTCAGGTGAAGTACACTCTGGTGCTACATGACATCTTACACTAGCATCTTCATAATGAACACAGTTATGGTCTCCTATGTTCTTGTAACCACGTGGACAGTCTATCAGTTTTGACTCTTGTCCATTACAGTAAACATTATCCAAGTATATTGAACCTGTTCCTTGACCAAAGTATGCATAACTAAATGCCCGAGCTCCTAGGAATAGAAAATATTATGTAATATATTCAATCTAAGTGTTGTATGGAGTTACCAGTGGAGGTGAGTATCAGTAATGTAATACCTGAGTCCCTTGATATCTGCCCTCAGCTTCACCTCAAGCAGATATCTCAGTCCTCAGGTATTACATTACTTGGTGAATTTACCTGTTGACAAGTATCCTAATTGACGACACACAACTTGTGCATCTCGGTTGCCCCAATAATCATCACAGATGGTACCCCATTCTCCTTCATAACACATCTCAACACGACCTTCATTAGGTACTGTACCACCCACTAGTCTTAGATCATAGTTATGACACCTAAAAATTGATTAATAATAATAATAATAATAATAATAATAATAATAATAATAATAATAATAATAATAATAATAATAATAATAATAATAATGACAATAATAATAATAATAATAATAATAATGACAATAATAATAATAATGATAGTGACTAATGTTGTTTACTGGCATATCAAGTCTGCATCAATGCAGCAGTCATTGTGATCCTCACAGTCGAGTGAGCAGTGACAGACGGTGTTTGGGTTAACTCCTTGACAACTGGCACCAGTAGATGGATCACAACATGTTTCATTATAACCAGCTAATGCACAGGGACCTGGGGCTACATGATGCATTGATAATAATTATAATCATAATGATAATGTTAATATCAATAATAGTATGGTATTTTTTAAATGGCTCCGAAATCACCCCAAATTTTATTACATTTTCTGATACATATTGATGTCCTTATGCTGCGTAGAAAGTTTGAGCTGATTCTGACTTCAATTTTTTGAGTTATGACTATTTTGAGAAATAGGCCAAAATGTAAAAAATGTTTTTTCCAAAAATTGACTAAAAATCAGTCCTAATTTTGTATAAATTATTTTCAAACAGTGATGATAAAGAGTGATCAATACTTACCACAGATCATGCTGACATCATTTGAATGCTGGCAGTTCCCTTTGTCTCCATACTGATCCTCACTGACACACTCATTGAGTTGATTCTCTTCTCCAGTACACTCTATATCTTCAATCCATATCACCTGACCTGTGGTACCTGACCCATACACACTGCTGGTATATCCACCAGTAAATGCCTGTGCACCTATCATTGGTCATAATAATGATCATTATATCAACACTAGTTTAAACCTTCTCCTATTGATACCAGCCATGCAGTGTGTGTGTGTGTGTATACCTCTCCATGGTAGCCCCATTGTCCTACAGATCACATATGCATCATAGATGTCCCATTCCTTGTCACATATAGTGCCCCAGCGTCCATTGTGACACACTTCAACTCGTCCTTCCCTATCAGTAGGTCCACCCACCAGTCTTATAGTCCCAGAGGTACATGATGATTCACAGGACACTCCTATGTCATACTGGTGCCCACAGCAACTCTTGTATCCTTTACAGTCTAACAGCTGTGACTCGTTGCCATAGCAACTGACGGTCTTTGAATAAACGTCCTCAAGTCCCTGACCGTATTCATTATTATTGTACAATGGTGTAACCTCTTTAATAAAACAATAAATAAAATAAATAAATAATTCTATTCTTACTTGATACACTCAGTCCTAAGCTCTTACACACTACAGTTGCTTCATTGACAGTAAAGCCTGTACTACAGACTGTCTTCCAGTAGTGGTCAGTGTCACATACAGCAATACGACCAGCTGTCTCGTTGCCATCATCAAACTTCACATCACCCACTGAAGTACAGACTGCATTACCTCCTAGCTCTGAATGGTTACTGGGAACAGCTACAGGAATGAAGAGATTATAGAGTGAGTGATCTTTAAAGTAACTATTGTATTAATGTTAAAGGTCCTCACAGTTTGGATGAGGGCAGGTAAACTCCACCCCAGGACAGCAGTCATCCATTGAATGACAGAGTTCATCACACCAGCAGTTGTATGGGTATGAGATATAGCAGTGGTAGGTGTCACAGCAAGAAGAGAACCCACCGACATCAAGACATATTGCCTGAGGATTGCAGAGTACTCCTCCATCAAACTCATGACTGCAGGTTGAAGGTGTGGTGTAGTTGCACTGTGTAATGTTGAGCTCATTCCCAGTGCAAGAGACATCCTGATATCCAACTGTCCCATTACCTTCACCAAATAGAGCCAGACCATAAGCTTGAGCACCTGTACATATACATAGGTTATATACCAGTGTGTGTGTGTCTGGAGGTGAGTATCAGTAATATAATACCTGAGTCCCTTGATATCTGCCCTCAGCTTCACCTCAAGCAGATATCTCAGTCCTCAGGTATTACATTACTTGTCCACCCATGAAGGCTGTACTTGCTTACCAGTAGTAGAGAGTCCTAACTGCCTGCAGATCACTTTAGCAGTTAATGAACAGAATGAACCATCAGCACAGACACTGTGCCACAGACCAGATGAACATATCTCTAGTCTACCATATCTAGTGACATTAACATCAGGACCTACCAATCTAACACTGCCTTCACTGCAACCTGTTGATAATAATAACTGATAATAATAACTGATAATGTACTTACCATTACTGTATGTGGCTCCTAATTGAAGACTAATGATAACAGATATTGCAATAATGAACAGCATTTTCAGTAAAGGGGCACACCCAAACTGGGTTGTTTTTCTCTCAATGAATAATCTTTTATAGCATCAATAATGAATGTTGTTATTTTTGGGAGGAGCTTATTGTCATTGATGATTCAGCAGCCACAATGGGTAAACAACAATGGTTTATGGTTATTGTGCTATTATTATTTTTCTTGCATTTAGATATCATTCTTCCACTTTTGATTGATGTTGGGTCACATCTTGTTACTAGGACAACTGGTAAATAACAAGTTTACTATTGTGAATATGATAATTATTGCTTTTTACTGTAGGTCATCACTTTATTACTAATTGTGGACACAGTGGTTTCACCATTCATAGTTTTACGCTGCTTTTTGGGTTTATAATTTCAGCAGTTACCTGCTCCTGTATCGGTAAAGATGCTGATGAAGCTTGTTCCCGAGCCTCTGCTCATGGTTTCTGGAAAATTGTGATCCACTGTATTGTACCTTTTATTGTTGATCTTGATAAAATGATCCCATCAAAATCATCATCATCTTGTTTTGATGCTTTTTCATGTATCATGTTAGCTGTCCAGTTAGCTATCTCCATTTGTACTGTCTATTGTTATAGCAACAAACAGAAACCACATAGAAACTTTTAAGCAATAAGTGTATATTGCTGCTGCACATTAATTTTGCATTATACAGCTATTTTAGGCTATGTTTCTGTGCCATTTGGTTTTGTGCATCAAGTCACTATTATTGTGAATATTGTTATTTATTTTCAAAATTGGGAGGGGCTGGTTGCTGCAGAATGTGTGAACAGTTTGTATTAGGTTGTATATGTCCATTACTCCTTGATATAGGTCTCCATTTTATTACTAAAGTAACTGGTAAGTATTATATGTATTGAATGGTAAGTATTATTAATAATATATAGGTCAGTACTTTATCACTAACTGTCATTTTAGCAATAATTGGACTCATTTTGTGATGCTGTTGGATGGTGTCATCATTTCAGTCCTTGCTATATGTTGTATTACTTGCATTTCAGGAAAAGGATCATACTGGAGGATAATTGTTAACATAATAGTCAAAGTCATGTTCCACTTTGTCTTGCCAAAATTGGATGGATTTGTGGAAGTAACAAGTGATGGTCTTTTTTCATGCAATAATAAGACTACCTTTTATATTCTTATGGTTGTGTACATGATATTATTTCCAATTTTTGTCATGATTATTCAAGTAGGCTGTGAAAATTGTTGTAAGCAGCCCAAAAAATAAAGATGCTTTGTTTGAATGCTATTATAGAGCTAATCAACTGCGTGGGCGATCTTTACAAGAGGAATTAGGTCACATGTTTATGACTGGAGGTGTGACATGGTCTGATCCATTGACCTGTGCTATTGCTGGCTGACTCTTCTCTTGTGTCTCAGTTTGTAGCTACTAGTCTTTAAGGAGGAGAGAGGATGAGTGATGATGATGGTAGGAGTCCAGAGGAGCAGCCGCTACTGAGGGTTGATGGTGGCAGGGGCAGGAGAATGAAGGAGAGCAAGTGTGGCCGGTGTGTCAGCTCCCGTGCCTGCTGTGGCCTTCTCTGCTGTATTATGATAACCACCGCCATTATTGCTGCTGTACTAGCTGTTCTTATATCCTATGGTATCATTGATAAAGAAGTTGATAAGTTTATTGCTAAAGTAAGAGAATAACAAGCGAAGGTTTATTATTATTATTATTCTTATAAACAGCAAGTATCGTTAACTAAAGGTTCAGCAGCTACAGACCAATGGTCTAAACCTGGTGCCGCTGTCTACATGTCCTTCTACATGTTTAACTTAACTAACAAAGATGAGTTTTTAAATGGAGAGAAAGCTACTATTAAAGAAATAGGACCATTTGTATACAAGTAAGAGAGAGAGGGTTGCACCCCTAGTGCTAGTGCTAGTGTGTCAGTTGATAGTGTTATTGTGTTGATTAGTGTCACATGATTGACATGAGCTCAGCAATAGCCCAGCCCTGGAGTACATAACATTACATAACAATATAGACCACAACAATAGGTCCAGTATACTCCAGTAGTACAATACAATCATATGATTATAGTGTAGCAGTAGTAAAGTATAAAGTGTTTGAGTTTATTGTAGTACACGTCAGTGATGCACTAGCTCAGCCTGTGACAATAATATAATATTGATGATGATCGATAATGATGGTATTAATATGATAGTAATGTTGTTCTTTTTGTTATTTTAGTGAGTCGAAGACGAAGTATAATTTGAGATGGAACAGTGATGAGACCATTTTGGAATATTTTGAAAATACCTCGTATATTTTTAACAAAGAGAAATCAAACAGACTTGATCCAAGTCATGTTAACATTACCACTATTAACCTCCCTCTTATTGTAAGGACTGGGTGGGTGGGTTAGTGGGTGTGGTTTATCTGTATCTTCCCCAGGGATTTCTCCTCCAGTTTGAAAAACTAATAAACATTTCTGCTACTTTTCCACCTCCAATCAACACTATTGTTAAAGATCTAATTGAAACTATAATAACTGAATTGAACAAAGACTTTAACGAGAAACTAATAATGACACGACCAGTCAGTGAGATACTCTGGGGCTATGAAGATCCTTTTCTGAAGTTTGTGGCCGATTTGTTAGCAAATGTGACATTTATTGATTTACATAAGGAGCTCAATGGTGGATTCTTCCAGTTAGAGGTACCACACTAACATAACTGTTACTATAATTAGACACACAATCATTACTTATCCTGTTACTATTATTATTATTGTACTATAGCACCAGACTGATACAGCTGGTCCTAATATGGTCTACACTGGTAAAGGATCACCCCAGACTACAGCACAGTATCTCATGTATGACGGTAAAACCAGTATAACCGGTTGGGGCACTCCTTATGCCCAGATGATCAACGGTACTGAAGCACTCCTGTTCCATCCTGGAGTATCAAGAACTGACGTGTTGGATGTGTATGTGGATGAACTCTTCAGATCTGGCTACTTTACCTATTATAAAGATATCACTGAATTTGATATAAAGATGTATCAGTTCAGACTACCACAGAAAGAGCTACAGAAAGCTTATCAGGACAAAGGATTCTACATGGACGGGCCTGATGGTGTACTTAATCTCACTGCTGTGTTCCCCCTAAGTAAGTGCCTGTACATGTATATAAATGTATTGATTTGTTATCATTTTTAGATGTCCCAATATTTGTTAGTAAGCCTCACTTCCTTGATGCTGATGAATATTATACTAATGATATTAATGGTCCCCCTAGCAACAGGGACAAACATGATTCATTCCTTAACGTTGAACCAGTGAGAAAGAACACATCTGCATATAAATAATTAATGATTCATTTATTATTATGATTATTATTATTATAGATAACTGGTGCTGTGCTGCATGCTGCCAAGAGGTTACAAATTAACATCCAACTCAAACAATACGAAGACATACCGTATGTTCATCATCATCATCATTATTATTATTATAAAGATGGAGTTACTATTATTATTTTTATTAGTAAATTATTATTAGTATTTTATTGTATTTTTAGTGATTTATCTCATTTGCCAATCAATACAACCTACCTGCCTTTACTGTGGGTTGAAGAGGTAACCACTAATAATACTAGCAGCTGCTACTCTCTCTCCCTCTCCCTCTCCCCCTTTCTCTCTCTCTTCCTCCCTCTCCCTCTCATAGACTGGGTCTCTTAACGAGTCAATTGCCAGTACATTTAGAGATACTGTGTATAAACCAATCAACACAATACAAATATCTGCAATAACGGTAGCATCTGTATCAGGTCAGTATACTAATAATATACTAATAATATACTGCTAGCATATTAATAATATACTGTCAGTATACTAATAATATACAACTGCTAATAATTGGGT